ATAATGTAAACAAAAATATTTTTGTTCTTTTTATAGGCAGCCCTAATATGTCATGTCATGACTCTTGAGTGGAATGGGCTTTTGTCTTCAGTTTGAATGTTTGCATTTTATTATTTAAAGTAAAACAGTTCGTATCACCTATCATTTTTTTAAGAATACACTTCCATTTCTTTGACCAGTCCAGAAAAGGCATAAAATTGTATTTTGTGCTTCCAGAACTTCACCATGAAAAATGGAATATGGTGACATCCAACTTCTGGATGGTCCCAGAAATGGCAGAAACAGAATAACAGAGTTTGAAGGGACCTTGGAGGTCTTCTAGCACAACCCCCTGCTCAAGCATTCCAGACAAGTGGCTGTTCAGTCTCTTCTTAGATGCCTCCAGTGATGGAGCATCTATAACTTCTGAAGACAAATTGTTCCATTGATTTATTGTTCTCATTGTCAGGAAATTTCTCCTTAGTTCTAGTTTGCTTCTCTCCTTGATTAGTTTCCATCCATCGGTTCTTGTCCTGCCCTCTGGTGCTTTGGAAATTAAGTTGACCCGACCCCTCCTCCTCTTTGTGGTAGCCTCTCAAATATTGGAATACTGCTATTATGTCCCCCCCAGTCCTTCTTTTCTCTAGACTGGCCAAAGCCAAATCCTGCAACTGTTCTTCATATGTTTTGGTCTCCAGGCCTTTAATCATCTTAGTTGCTCTTCTCTGCACTCTTTCTAGAGTCTCATCATCTTTTTTATATTGTGGTGACCAAAACTGGATGCAAATTCAAAGTAGGGTCTTACCAAAGCATTATAAAGTGGCATTGCTTTGGGAGTCAGTTCTGAGGAGGGGAACTTTAAGTGTAATTTTCTCTTGCACAAAACTCAGGACTCCTACTGAATAGCTGTCATGCCATTTGTGAATTGATGCTTTGCTAAAAACAACAAAAACAAATGAATATTTTATTTTGCCCAGGATATCAGCATAAAAATTAAATTTGAATATTTTTTTGTATTGTGGTGACAAGTATCAATAAAAGATTTAAACTTGAATTCTGCAATTTTGGAAGTCCAGTGTAAAAAATGTTAGGGGCAGTTATGAACATATGTAGAGTTCTTAGAGGGCTTTTTTTCTTAGGTTTTATGCTGAGCCTCAGGAATTCCCATATGGTATCATAAAATAATGTGCAATTTCTTTCGTACAGCAGCAACACACAAAGACATTTCG